CGGGGGGGGGGGTGTTCATATAAATAAAGGTAAGTGTATAAATAAATATAAAATATATAAAAATAAATAAAAGAAATAAGGATCATAAAATGAAGATAAGGGATATATAAATATGAAACAAATGAGTTATGCAACCCGTTGATTATTTAGTACATCTCATAAAGATATAGCTATATTATATTTAATATATGGTATGATAGCATCTATGGTAGCGACAGGAATGTCAGTTTTAATAAGAATGGAATTAGCTAGTGGTAATAGTCAATTTTTTCACGAGAACCATCAAGCATTTAATGTAATAGTTACAGGACATGCTATAGCTATGATATTCTTATTTGTAATGCCGGTTTTAATAGGAGCTTTTGGTAATTTTTTTGTACCTATTTTAATAGGAGCTGTAGATATGGCTTTTGCTAGATTAAATAACATTAGTTTCTGATGTTTACCACCTGCTTTAGTTTGTATTATTATATCAGTATTAATAGAAAGTGGTGCTGGTACAGGTTGAACAGTTTACCCACCATTATCATCTATAGGTTCACATTCTGGACCATCAGTAGATTTAGCTATATTTGCATTACATTTAACTTCTATATCAAGTTTATTAGGTGCTATTAATTTTATAGTAACTATAATTAATATGCGTACAATAGGAATGCATATGATAAATATGCCATTATTTGTATGAGCTATTTTATTTACAGCTATATTATTATTATTATCTTTACCTGTATTAACAGCAGGTGTTACTTTATTATTATTAGATAGAAATTTCAATACTGGTTTCTACGAAGTAGGAGCCGGTGGAGATCCTGTATTATATGAGCATCTTTTCTGATTCTTTGGTCACCCAGAAGTTTATATTATAATAATACCAGGATTTGGAATAATATCACATATAGTATCAACATATAGTAAAAAACCTATATTTGGAGAAGTTGGAATGTTATATGCTATGGGATCTATTGGATTATTAGGTTTCTTAGTTTGAAGTTGAATAATGGCTTCACTATATATTAAATATATAGTTAAATATTTTACTATATGCTGGAACAATTTTAAAGTAATTAATACTTTTAATAGTGAAAATTTAATTATTTATATATATAATATATTTTATTATATTATTAATAGAATTCAATCAGCAAGTAATTTATCTTTAATACCCAGTGCTATCGCCCTGAGGTTCCCTGAATTGTGCCCGGGAATATATAAATATATATTAAAGATTGAAAATACTTCAGAGGCCACATGTAAAACATATTTTAAATATAATAATTATTTTACATTTTGTAAGATTAATAATTTAAATTATTTACTTAATATATCTGAAGATTGATATACTTGATTTATAGGTTTTGTTGAAGGAGATGGTGCTATATTAACTTATAATAATGGTAAAACTGTTAGATTTGTATTAACACAAAAAGAAGATGCTATTTTATATCATATATATAATACTCTTAAATTAGGTAGTGTTAAATGCTTTAAATCTAATAATAATACATATTATAGGTTAATTATAAGTAATCCATCTGAAATATTAATATTAACTTATTTATTTAATGGTAATTTAGTTATAGATAACAGAATTAAACAATTATCTTTATGAATAAATTATTATAATAATTATTATAATAATAATAAATATAAATTTATAAATAAATCTAATATTTCATTTAATATATCAGTACAAAGTATAGAAAATATTAAATTAATAAATATTAATAATATTATAACATTAAATGATTCATGAATATCTGGTTTTACAGATGCAGAAGGTTGTTTTAATGTAACTATAACTAATAATATAAGATATAAATATAACAAAGTTATTAAATTAAGATATATTTTAGATCAAAAAGATGAAATAATATTAAATAAAATAAAATTATTATTTAATATTGGTAAAGTATCTTATAGAAATAAAACAAATAATGTATATAGATACACAGTTACTGGTTTTAATAATATGAATATTATTAAAGAATATTTTGATAAATATCCTTTAAAAACTAAAAAATTAATAAGTTATAATAAATTTATTAATATATTAAATAAAATTAATAATAAATTACATTTAAATGAAAATGAATTAAATAATATTATTATATTAAGTAAAGATATTAATAAAAATAATAATATAAATAAAAAAATAGGTGATAAATTAAATTAAATATACCTAATAACCAGCGCTACCGCGCTGGTTATCCCCGGGTGCAGCCCGGGTATTATTATTAAAGGATAAATATTATATTTATAAATATGAAGATATGGTCCGATACTTCTTGTGAGAGAAGCATAAATATTATTTATGGGTAAATATGGAAAATATTTATTAACATTATTGCATCACATGTATATCGTAGGTTTAGATATTGATTCTAGAGCTTATTTCACTTCTGCTACTATGATAATAGCAGTACCTACAGGTATTAAAATATTCTCATGAATCGCTACAATATATGGTGGAGAATTAAGATTAGGAGTACCTATGTTATTTGCATTAGGTTTCTTATTCTTATTTACTGTTGGAGGTTTAACAGGAGTTATGTTATCTAATGCTTCTATTGATGTAGCTTTCCATGATACTTATTACGTAGTTGGACATTTCCATTATGTATTATCTATGGGAGCTTTATTCTCTTTAATAGGTGGTTATTATTATTGAGGTCCTGCTATGTTTGGATTAAATTATAATAAAATATGAGCAGAAATACACTTCTGATTATTATTTATCTCAGTTAATATAATATTCTTACCAATGCATTTCTTAGGTATTAATGGTATGCCTCGTCGTATACCTAACTATCCTGATGCCTTTATTGGTTGAAACTATGTTAGTAGTTTAGGTTCTATTATATCTGTTATATCAGTTCTAGTTGGATTAAAAAGTGTTTTAATACAATTAGAAAATGGTGAAAATGAAGATTTTGATATCCAAGTTACACCTGATTTCTTAGAAGCTAACTTAACAAGAACTGTTAGAGATTCAGATTTAGAATTAATCTTAAGCAGACCAGCTGAGTATCACACTTTCAGTGAGTTACCAGTTTTAACACACCCTAGATAAAATTATATTATCTAACTTTTATTTATTCATTCTCTAACTACGCTCAGAGAACCTCTTGTGCAACTATATTGAATATAATAAAATAATTATTTTGAATATCGTCTAAAAGAGGTATAAATATTAATGCCCAGCGCAGTTGCGCTGGGGGGGGGGATTATTATTTAATATTTATTTTTATAAATATAGGTGAAGTAAATATAAATATAATAAATATAAGAAGATATATAATATAATAAATATGCAATTAGCATTAGCAGCAAAATACATCGGAGCTTCAATAGCTACATTAGGATTAGGAGGAGCAGCTATAGGAATCGCTTTAGTTTTCGTAGCTTTAATTAACGGTACTTCACGTAACCCTTCATTACGTGCTACATTATTCCCACAAGCTATCTTAGGAT